TTTAAGTCAGCTTGCTGAGTGGGGTTGGCAAAGCAGCCACCAGGCCACTCATCAGCCCACATCTGCTGAGCTGTGGGGCTGCTGTGGTGGTGGTACTGTGGCCCAAGCCCAGCCCTGAGCTGTAATACTGTGGGCACCCATTTCCTTCAGTGAAATGTCACGATGCTCGCCTCACACTGGTGGTAAGAAGTGAATGTATGCAGAGAGGAGATGGTGCTGGCACTTCCCCTTGCACCTAACTCTGAGGGGGGTAGGTACGGGTGCCTTTTTAAAAAGATTTATTTATGTATGCATACAGAACTGGGGTACAGGCCAGAGGTGCAGGGGCAGTGGGAGGCTTCACCAGAGACAGAGTGGGGAGCAGAACAGGCTGACTGAAAAATAACGCTGCTGAGGGGACCAGCGGGCAGGTCAGGAGAGGTCTGTTGTGCCATGTGGGTCACCTTGTGGGGCCGGGATCGAACTCAAGCTGAAGTGGCTTTAGCTTCTTAGGGCTGTGCTTTAACCTGCTGCGCCACCAGGGAGGGCCCTGATGCCTTTTTTTTTTTTTTTTTAAATTGTATTTTGGGGAAAAAACACATTTCAACCCTACAGGAGAATTGAAGTCCCTTTTCAAAGTCCTTCACCTAGTGTTAATTAACATTTTGCCATATCTGCTTCCCCTCCTCCTCCCTTGCCTCTGTAAGCACATAATAGCATCTTGTTATTGTTACAATTTATTGAAGAGGAAGTTGTGGGCATCATGACCCTTCCTTGCTGAGCACTTCAGTTTGTGAGCCCCAGGAACCAGAGTAAACTGATTACGTGTAGGAAATTTAACATTTATACAAAGCTATTCTGTAACATAGAGACTGTTACACAAATGCGTACATTGCTGCAGTACTGTCTGTGAAGTGGCCTCCTCTCTCTGTCCAGGATCCAGTCCGGTCTTCCTGACCTTGAATCTGAAGGCTGCCTTTGTCTTTCTTAATGCTGACACTGTTAAGAGTTATCGAGCCATTTGTTCTGTGGAACAGCCCTGGTTGGGACTTGCTGATAATTGCCTCATGATTAGAACCAGGTCATACCTCATGGGCCAGAAAACCTAGGTACCTCCTCAGGAGGCGGTGATGTCACTATATTCTGTTAGGAGAGTTGTTACCTCTGGTCACTTGGTATTTTACCTTTCTGTTACTCGGCGATCCTTGGGGGAATGGTCTTGAGTCTGGGCATGCATAAACTTGTTCTCCAACATATTTTTACTCTATGGGTTGGGCAGTTATTGGAGTTGGACTTCAACTCTTAACCAAACTCTTCATGAAGTTCAGTTGCAGGTCAGCATCTTGGCTGGCATTTAGGTATACACCTCTGAGAAAACTGGCACTGGGAAATACACTTTTTTTTCCATCAAAGTGGTCTTCCTGTTTCTGAAGTCTGCAAAAGCCAAATTCGTTTATTCATTTGGTCAGTAAGTGAGTATGTACTGTGGAGCGCTGATTCCATACCAGGTGCTATTCCAGGTGCTGAGGATAAAATGATTAAAACAAAAAAGTAGGCAAAATCCCTGTGTCCCTCGAAGGTATAGTCTAAAGGGAATTGGAATACCTCTACCCATTGTTACGGTGATGGAGGAGCAAGCAAGATGGTGAAGGAGACTGTGAGTGAGGGGTGCTTCTCTGGCCAGGGACCTGAAGAGGGCTGAGGAGCTACTGTGACCCAGGCAGGCGGGCCTGCCTGGCAGGCAGCTGGTGTGAGGCCCATGTGCTGGATGGCAGTCAGTGGAAGTGTTAAGAGGTTGGTGTGGCTGGAGCAGATGTCAGCAGGGAAAATGGGGGTCAGTGAAGTTGGAGAGAGGGTCAATACGTGATGACGAGGGCCACGTAGACCATGATGGGGAACCAGTGTGCTGGTCTAGCTTAGAGAGGGCAGCCCCCCCCCCCCAAGAGACCATGCAGTGCATCAGCCTCCATCTCTGATACCAAGCATCTGAGGGCCAGCCTGCTGCTGCCCGGTGCTTCCAGTTATTGTCTGACAGGGTCTGGACCCCCAGGGTCCACAGATCCTGAATGCAGCAGTCAGGAGTTTTTCGGGAAAGGAAGGACGACAGAAGTGAGCAGCTAGAAATGGCATTTATTTTCTCCTGGTCCTGTGGGGCAGTTCAGGGGGGCTGTTTCCCAGCAACCTGGGTGCCTGGGGCAGTTTTTGACAAGCCTTGGCAGATGGGCATGCTTGCAGGGCCAGCAGCTTTCTGATCTGGAACAGCCAGGGAGTCCCAGGCTGTGAGCCCAGGGCAGTGTGTCCAGTGCCAGCAGGGGTAGGCCACTGTCCAGCCTCAGCTTGGCCTTTGTCCCGGGCTGTCTCCCCAAAGCTGAAGGAGCTCCATTACTCACAGCTTCTTTCCCCACCACCCATCTCAGACAACCCAAGTAACAATGGACACAATGACGGTAAAGCCAGCATTGAGAAGTACTGCGCTCTGGGCCAGGCGGTTTCTAAATGCTTCCCATCTACTGCGCATGTACTTTTCACAACCCTGTGAGGGGGTCACTGCCAGGTCCACGCAGCTGCTAAGTGCAGAGTCAGAACTTGAACCCAGGCTGGTTGACAGCAGGTCTGTTCTCTCTCCACAGCTGCACTGCAGGTACCATGGGATCTTTCTGGAGTCCACAACAAGGGCCCTGAGGGTGCCATTTAGTCTATTTGAGGCAATTCCTGCCTTTTGAGGTGCTTGGCCTCTGACCTCTGGCCTATGATCCTGGACTCAGAGAGTGGTGGGAGTGACAAGTAAAGCCTGGTTACTGCTGCTCAGAGGTCCTGTGCCTCCCTTTCAGGGTCCAATCCAGAACCCTAGGAAGTGGGGTGACATTTATTTAGCACCTCCAGTGCATGGGCAAGTATTTTACTTTATGTTAGCAGCAACTCTATGGGGCAGAATTTATGACCGTCCTTTACCAGTTGAGGAAACTGAGGCTCTAGAACATGCCAGAAGGGTACAGCCAGAATGGGGAGTCGCACAGCAGATGGGCCTAGAGTTTGGTCTTTGTGCTGCTCTGCCTCCTGGAGCTGACGAACCAGGGCCTTTGGGCCTTCTATAAGTCGTGTGCCTTGGTCATCCCCACCAGAATGCAGAAAGACCAAATGGGGCCTTCAGGCAAGTGTTGAAAGACCACTGACTTCAGGGTCAGAAGACCTCCGTTCCTGTCCACTCACCTGTGAGATGGAGAGTAACATCACCTACTGCCAGGTGTAAAAGTCTAAGTTGGTGGTGTTTAGCTGCGTCTCGAGGTGTGTGGATGAGTGTGAGGATTATTAAAATGTGTGCTGGGCTTCCCTAAGAAAGCACCTGAGTCAGGGCGTGGGCAGGACGAGGGTCTTCTCAGAAGCATCCAGTTGACTTTAAAACACCATTTTCCTCTCTACCCTTTAAAACACCATTTTCCTCTCTACCCAAAAGACACAAAAACACTGATTCAAAAAGACACCTGCACCCTCATGCTGCTTTATTTACAATTGGAAAGACATGGAAACAGCCCAAATGCCCAAAAGTCGATGACTGGTTTAAAAAGATGTGGTACATATACATAATGGAATATTACTCAGCAACCAAAAAAAAACACATGCCTTTTGCAGCAACATGGATGGAGCTGGAGAAGATCATGCTTAGTGAAATAAGCCAGAAAGAAAAGGAAAAATACCGGATGGTTTCACTCATAGCAGGAGTGTAATGGAACAGGCGAGAAAATTATAATGATGAACAGCTATATATCAGAGACATTTTATGGGGGTGGAGTGGGGAATGGGGTCAAAAACAATGGGGGGAGGGAAATACACCAGACTATGGTGATGGCACATGGGTGATTGGGTGATGGAAGCCCAACTGAGATGAAACTGAGATGAAAAATGCACAAAATGATGTAAAAATAAACTATTACATTATTTAAAGAAACCAAAACACCATTTTCCTTTGCAGCATTTCATTTCTAGGTGGAGCGCTGTCTAGGAGTGATAGCATCATGGTAATAATTGTAGCAGATGTTACTAGAAACAGGAAAAAAAGGATTTGACCCAGATCAGGTGGTGGTAGGCCAAGATCCCATCCTACAATCTGTGAGGAAAATGCAAGATTCCTTTCCAGTGAAAACAGTGGTCTCAGCTGGAGCGATTTGACCTGGCCACAGAGATTTGGCAATGTCTGGAGAAAGGTTTCTCACCTGGAGAGAGGGTGCTACTGACAGCCCCATAGAATCCGGTACAAAATCCTCCAGTGCACAGGACAAGCCCCTCAGCATAGAATGATCCAGGCTAAAATGTAGATGGTGCCAAATTCATTGAGAAGTCCCAAATTAAAAAATAACCAGCCCTGATGTAATATTTACTATGTGTCAGACTGCATTGTCCTAACCACTTCACAGGTATTATTAACTCATTCAGTCATCCCAATGCAGCTACAAAGGAGCTGTTGTTGTCCTCAGCTGTCAGCTGAGGAGGTGGGGGCAAAGGGAGGTTAAATAACTTGACTGAAGTCAGGGTGCTGCTTGGGGGCGAAGGGAGCAGGCAGAGCTGGGACGTGAACTTGAGGCAGTTTGACACCAGAGTTTGCCTTTAGCCACCACTGCCTGGCACTGAGGGAGGCTTCTGGCTTTCAGTCAGCTTTTTAGCTTTTGAGTTCAGAATGCTACACATCTAGAAATTTCATTTTGAGGAGATTCAAAAACTATTCATTCCTAGCTGAGAAAATAGAGAGGGAATGGCCAGGGTTATGGTGATGAGGGGCCCAGGGACCCATGAGAAAAAGCCCATTTTCCAAATCTTGGGTGTGGCTCAGCTTGTGAAGGTAATGGCAAGAGGCACCTCATGGGACCCCATCTCCACTCACTATAACCTCTTAGCTTCTGACTCCATTTGTTGGGGAATTACAGAGTGGTGGCACCTCTCTGTGGTGCCAGTTGGGGACCGGACAGGGACAGGAATGTGCAGAGTGGACTTGGCTTTTAGTCCTGGGCTATGTTGTATCTTTGCAGATGTCAAGACCACTGTGGTTTACCCTGCCACAGAGAAGCACCTGCAGAAGTACCTGCGCCAGGATCTCCACCTGGTCCGCGAGACGGGAGGAGATTACAAGAGTGTCACCTTACCTCACCTGGAGTCCCAGAGCCTCAGCATCCAGGTGACTGGCCACCGAGGGGCTGACACAGAGTGAGGCCAGTGTTTCTTTCTTAAACACCTGTTGAGATCTTACTAGGAGCAGGTACTGTTCCCCTGAGGGTGAGGATCATGCAGGGCATGGGGACCGAGGAGGGCTGCCTTCGTACAGGAGTCAGACAATGTGCACTTACATAAGTGACACACAAGTCATGAGACTGAGAGCCGCGAAGGGAAGTGAGTGCCTAAGTGGCACAGAAAGTCCTGGGGTGTTAACTGCTTCCGAGAGAAGGGTCAGAGGTGTTACTGAGTTGACCCTGATCTTGGGCATACCGTGAAGGCACTGGGGGAACCTCAGAGTAGTCTGGCCTGCTGGAAGAATTTGTATCTGCTCTGCAGTAACCCGGACTCAATAGCTGTGCCCTCCTGGGGTCTGGAAGTAGGTAAAGCCTGATGTGGGTTAAGCCTGCCCCAGCCTGGACTCTTATCTCTGTTTTCACCTACAGCAAACCAACCTCCAGGAGTCAAGTCCCGGAATAAAAACTTCCCGTTTGCCCCTCCCCCCTTGCATTCTTTCCATAGAGGGCGGGTCCATGGAGACATGGCACAGGGCCTCATCTCTCAGGGGCTGTGTTTTGGGGTTGGCAGTGTCTCCAGCCAGAGGACCAGATAGATGCAAAGCCATTGAGCTAAGACATCCCGGTTTCTCTTTGGGCCCAGGCCCAGCGCCAGGCAGCCTCTGCTTGGAATTGGCCCCGTGTGAATGCTCGGAGTTAAACATGATGGATGGGCTGTTTCCTTGCTCACTCACTGGCTCTCACTGTAGCCTTCTCAATATCACTCACTCTTGCTCTCTGGGTATTTACTCTCTCACTAAGACTCAGTTTAGAGTGGTTGGGGGGTGGAGGGAGAAGTGTTATCATATGGGAAACTCTCACTCATTTCTCCCAGGCTCTGCGGAAGCCAGGGTGTCTTGTGTGGGGCACTGTGGGCCAAACAGTAATTGGGAGGAGGAAGGAAAGGGGTTGAAAGGGTCTGCTGGAGGATATGCAGTGACAGCCCTCCTCCCATGAGGGAAGGCCCAACCCAGCTTTTAGCACAGTCACCCTGAACAGGAAGGATTTGCACAAATTCCCCTGGCTCCTGCTGGCTTGGTTTGTTTTTGCATTTGTTTTTCTTTCACTAAAGAAGACAGTACTTGCTGTCTTCTAATTGGAAAGAAGCTGTGTCTCCATCTTCCTAGACAGCTTCTGCTCGTCAGGATCCTAAAAGTATCTTCTAGAGGATTTGCTCTGTGGCACTGGCTGCCCATACATGGTATTCAAGAGGGAAGCCCTTAATACAGTCATGCATGTCTTGTGCATCCCTTCTTCCACACCATACACAGCTCCTCCTGGGACTGGTACAACACAAGCTGCAGGATTCTGCCAGCACGAGCATTCATCTAGTCTTTCCTGCCTATTTTTAGCAAATTTACAAGCATTTAGCTTGTAACAGGCATATTTATTGAGCAACTGCTATGTACCAGTTCCTGTGTGAGGGTCTGAACAATTACCAAGATAGGCACTGAGCTACCCAGTAGTCTTGTAGGGAAGGTGGGTATGCAGTCTAACCATTGCAGATAATGCGGTTAGCACATTGGTAGTTTAGGTTTGAGAAACAGTAGTGACCCAAAGCGGGGGTGGGGGAGATGGTCAGTTTGGGGGGGGGGGAGCTTCAATGAGGAGAGGGGATCCTCTAGTTTACCAGGTGGACAAGGAAGACTAGGGCCTTCCAGCAGATGAAGAGCAAGGACAGAGGCACTAATGTGATCTCTCTGGGGAGCTGCGAGGAGTTTGGTGTGCCAGGGGAAGGCGGGGCTGGAAAGTCAGCCCACTGGGAAAGGCGCGCAGGACCTAGGAGAGGGATGTGCACTTTTTCTGGGAGACCAGGAGTTCCCAAACATTGATTGCCTGGTGAGACTTTCAGAAATTCAGAACATGATGTGGTCTTACATGCTTACTGCATTAGAGTATTCAGGAAGTGGAACTGGAAAATCTGCATTTAAAAAAAAATCTGTTTCTAATGAGCATCAGGTTTGAGAATGATTGCTGGAGGCAATGAGGGTCCTGTAAATGGTTTTAAGCATGTGGGCAACATGATCAGATTTACAGAATTGGAGTGTGGTGAGACTAAGGCCAGTGTGTGTCTGAATCAAGGCAGAGGCCCTGGGGAAGGCTTCAGCTCATGGGGCTTAGAACTAGTTGATTTGGGGAGGTGAGGGAGGGTTGCATATTGCCGCCTCCTGGTCTAGCTTGGCAGGAGGGAGACGTGAAGACAGTGAGCTCAGTTTGGGACTTTCTGAGAACTCAGTAGGTGCCAGGAACTGTTAGCATTACCCATGCAGCCCCCTGTCAGCTCTTCCCAGCAGCGCTTTGGAGGTGGTTTGCAGAGGCAGCTGGTCTGTCCCGGCACCTGCAAGCACCCAACCCTTGGCTGACAACCCTGTTTCCTGCCTTACCTCTGAGGTACTTGTATCTTCCCAGCTAAAATGCCCAGTGAAAGATGCAGTGGGGCGTCCGGAACTGCAGCATTAGAAATCATCAGGCTGAAAATGTCCTTTTGTTAGTCACTAAGTCAGGGTTTCGGCATTGACCATGTGGGTGCTCACATGGTCATGTGTGACATTGCCCTTGACTTCTGAGCCCTTTTCCTCATCTGGACAGTGTGACTAACAGCACCACCCTCTTAGGGTCCTGGTGGAATTGGAGAGAGTTTTGTGAACTGTGTGCCTGTTTCCGTTCCCAGCACAGAGGAGGTGCCAGCATCGTGGCTGCCATTGTGCACATGGAGGACAGTTCAGGGGCTGGGGGAGTGTGTGATGCTGAGGCTCCCCGGAGGCCTGGGCTGGTGGAAAGTGGTCAGAGTGGGGGGGCCAGCAGTGGGTGGGCAGAAAAGCCTGAGGGTGAAGAGGGAGCATGATGACCCAAGGAGGAAAAGACATCTGCAGGGAGGTGCCACTGTCACCAGCTTCACAGAGCTGTCCGGAGGGTGGCAGAAGCTGTCGGAGCCACCCCCTGCCCACTGTCAGCTGGGCCGGCCTTCAGAAGGTGTCCCCGTTACGCAATCCCCTGTGATGCATGTGGGTTTTGTTCCCTCATTCTCCTCCCTTGTCTGGGTTTCTGGCCTGAACTTTCATGTAGCTTCCAGGCCCTCCTGCTACCCCAGCTGCCTTCCCCACGTGGCCAGAGTGTGGGCGCTGGGGCCAAACTCTGGTTGGATCTGTGTTAATGTGGGGGAACCGCCTCACACCTTTACCTGCAAAGTGGGGATCCTGAGACCACCTGCCTCATGGTGTGCTGTAAGGGCCCACCCTCCAGGGGACCTAGAACCAAGCCCCTCATGGATGAGACCTTTGTCACCCTCCCATCTTCTGAGTGTCGCTCCCCTTAGCCCACCCCCTCCTTGGCTGCATCCACTTTCTCTCTCTGCCTTTCCCCCTTGGTGTCATGATCTCCAGCTCGCCATCCTTGTGGTCAGTCAGGATGCCCTGCCCAGCAGCGCCTATGTCAGAACTTTCTGCACACCTTACGGCCTGTCCTTGGTGCCTCAGTGTGCATTTTCCCACTTACACTTCTCCTGGGACTGTGCCACAGCTGTGGTCATTTTACAAAGGTGGAAACGGAAACTTATACAACTTGACAGCTCACCAGTGTTGGGGTGGGGGAGGAAACCAGTCTGGCTGACTCAGAGCCCACTGACCTCTCTCTAACATGGCTTTTTAGGCTGCCTTATCTGTGGACAAAGGACAGTGCTCAGGAAGATCAGCTTGTGGGCTGGGCCTCGCCAGGGGCGCCCAAGGACAGTCTACATCCTCCTCCCCTTTAGTTTTGGGGTGCTCCAAGTCAGGTTCTGGCTGGCTTGCCTCTAGCAGCATACTCCCAAGAGATTTCTGGCCAGAGAGGAAGTGCGTCCGGGAGTGACTAATATACTGGGCTCTGTACTGCTCTGACCTCAGGACCGCCATGGGTTTGGCCAGACCCCACCCCCCTGGAAACCATTCGGCCTGGCTGTTTTAAGGAGGGCCCTTTTGTAGAGAGTGGACCACTTCACGACTGGTCTCGGAGCTTACCAGAGTAGGGGCTGGAGGCCCACATAGGCCCAGGGCAGGTGTCTTTTGCTCGCTCTCTCTCCATCTTAGGTGCACTTGACCTTGGCTGTGCTGGCTGAGAGCTAAGGAAGGACGGCTGTGTGAGTCCAGCCACTAGCCGCTCTTCCACTCTCCAGCAATGTTCTCGCTCAGATTTAGGGCAGAGAGTTCATTGACCCGGAAGGAAGTCACATGTGCAAAGGGCACTCATGGTTTGGGGGAAGTAGAGAACTAGAGGTGTGTGGATTTGACCTTTGTGAGAATAGGGGCTTTCTTATCTATCCTTAACAGCTTCAGAAAGACCTCTGGGACCTTAATTATAAACTGATGTGCTTGAGATCCACACAACCCCAGGGAAGGGTGCTCTGAAGACTGCAGGCAGCTTCTGATCAAAGGGGAAGGAGACCCGGAAGCTCTGGGTAACAGGAAAGGTCTTCATAATGTATCTCCGTGGCATTTCTGTTCTGCTTTGTCATCAGGGCCCGTATCAACTGTGCCTGCTGTGACTTCTGCAGGCGGAGATGCTAATCCCACCACTAACTGCTAGAGGAGAATTCCAGCAGAGTGAGAACCTCCACATTCTGACTTCCCTGTCCTAGTGTAGAGCTGGCTCCTTTTGTGGAAGGAACTCTGTCTGGGGTCATGAATAAAGGTTCATAGGGCCCACGGAGGCACTTCCTGAGGCCTGTGAGGCCATGGTGGAGCTCCTACAGAGTGCTGACAGGGAGAACCCCAAGACCACGCCCATCTAAGCTGAGTGGCCCCTGTAGGAATGAATATGGTGTTAACTGCTGTGAGACACTGCAACTCTGATGGACCCCAAGGGCAGCTCCTCGAGAGCAAGACAACCTGGGTGTAGATGTTCTGAACTTAGTGGCCTTTTATGGCTCGGTCGTTCTTGGGGGAGCCAGAGAGCTTACCTGGCTCAGACTGGGGTGTCATCCACAGGGTGACACTGTGGATGACACTCACAGGGTGGTGAGTGGATCTGTGAACCTCCTCTTTCCCTCTTTTCCAGTGGGTGTACAACATTCTGGACAAGAAGGCTGAAGCTGACAGGATTGTTTTTGAGAATCCAGATCCCTGTGATGGCTTTGTCCTCATCCCTGATCTCAAGTGGAACCAGCAGCAGGTGAGGGATTTCTTGGGGCTCTCTGGGCTCTCACGACCCTGCTTCAAGTTGCTTCTCCCACCTTGTTCCTGCCCTTATCATGTTGGCCTCTTTTTTTAAGCAGATTAGGATTGATTAATTGTTTCAGGGAGGTCTCTGTAGTGAGAGTGTGTACCTGTCACAGATGTCTACCCTTTCGTGGGGTACTTTAGTCTTTTCTGGCTCTCCTCCCGCACATGGGAGAGAGTAGGTGAGTATTCACCTCCATAACCACATGACCATCGTACACCAGCCAAGCGAGCCACCCTCACTTCAGAAACACCTGGAGCCCTGGGTTAGACTATTGACATTCTCTGTCCCCCTGGAGACCTCCAGATCCAGGCAGGCCTGCGGCCTGAAGCATTGGCGGTGGCACCGTGGCGACCCATCTGGGGAATCCCCTGCCCAGATTGTACAAGAGGCCTCCTGGCAGCGGAAGCCCAGGCTCCCCTCAGCTTCTCAGCTCTTTGTTCCCTCACATGCCCTCGCCTCTCCTAACCACCTCACAAGCAGGCTTTCATCGAATCTGTCATCACTCGCAGGTCCCGGTAGCCACTCTCTCTTCCCCTCGTTCCTCCCTTCTTCACTCCACCAACCCCCCCCCCCCACCAGAATCATCACTTGCCTCTGGGGTGGGTTATTATATCCCGGCTAGCAGAAGCAGCAGGGCTTTGCGTCACTGAAAGTGCTATCTATTCTCACCACTTAGAGCAGGGCGTGGCCCAGCCCACATCAGTGCCGGGGCGAGGAAGGCTCAAGAAGCCAGAGGAGGAGCTGCTGGGTAGAAGTGGGGAGTAGGCAAAGTACCCCTCCTTCCGTTCAAATTCTCTGAGTGATTGGAGCTGAAGTGCTGTGCTGCTCTAGGGCCGGCTCTCTAGTTTCTGATGGCTCCTCGCAAGGTGACGGGATCTCAGAGGTCCTGTTCTGGAGCTCAGACCCGGCTGCCTGCCTGTTGGAGCACACCTTCCCTCTTGCCTTCTTGGTCGTGGCCTGCTCCTGAGGGCTTTGGGTCCTAAGCAAGCTCACCTGAATGTTGCTTGCTTGGGATTTGGTGACTTCTCAACCTGCTGTGTCATCACTTTGCTGCCAGAAGGGCAACTGAAGGCCTGTGGTTTGGGGGTAAAGAGGGATGGTTTTGAGTTTGCAAGTGCATAAACATCAACTGTCTGCCACAGGAGGTTCATGGGAGGCCTGAATGTGGTTCACAGGGTGGCAGTGAATTTGAAGGGCGTTAACAGGAGTCACAGCCCTGATGATGATCTGAGAGGCAGATAAGTTCAGAGGATACGGCGCTCTGGTGTGGGTTAGTGCCTTGGACAGAGGCTGTGAGAACATCTGGCCAACTCGCTGCCCTGAGAAGCTTACTCCACCTCAGGCCTTGAAGCCAGGACCACTCGGAGATAGTTGGGAAGCTGTGCCGCACGCCCTCGCACCGTAGCCCTGTGCCCACAGGTTCTGGAAGGCAGCCTGGGTCACGGGTGGTGGTGTAGGGCCTCACAAGACCCTTGAAGACAGTAGAGCTTGTGCTTTGCAGGGGGTGGTGGTCTGAGGGTTGTGCAGAAGCAACAAAAGAGTGATTTGTGTGTCTGCGGCCAAGAAAGCCCGAGCTCGTTGAGCGCCCCCGGCAATGAGGACGGAAATCCGTTGTCCTTCTGACCTGCTGCTGGCAGACGTGCTGCCCAGCCTGCCAGTGGAGCTGCCCCCTCGCTGTCCCCTTGCAGGCAGAAAGGGAACGGCACTGGGCTGCCAGCCACATGACTGCCTCAGGGGCTGTGAGTGGGCCAGCTGAAATGTCAGGCTTTCCTGGATAGTATAAAGGTGTGGTTGTTCTGAGCCTTTGCCTAATTTGCACTTGGATCTCGGCAGTGCCTGTTTCAATATCTCAGATCCTTGACTTGTGACACAGCATTCACATCCACGGTCACCTTAGAATCGGGCAGTGTGTTCAGAAGGGAGGCCTTCTGTTTGTTCTTGCCTCCCAAGGAGATGTGAGGAAATAATTGTCTGGCACTTGCTTCCTCCCCTCTCTTGACTCTCCTCCGGCTGCCACGCTGTCCAGAAATACGTCTTTATTGCCCCCAAATGATGGCCCAGTACTGAAGAGTGTCGCCCATCGTCCATCCGCTGTCTATCAGCATGTGTTTAGGATATGGCCAACGTTTGCTAGACTGCCGCCCTGGAGGTGATAACACCCCTTCCTCAGCTCTCTTCAAGTCACCACCTGGACGTTCTCTTGTCCGAGCTTCATTACTTTTAGGTGTTGCGCACCCCTACACGTGGTAGAAAGGTAAACAGTACAGAGCGTGCAGTGACAGTAAGTTACATTGCCCCGTCTCCCTCCCCTTCCTTCCCAGAAGAGACTATGTTTCTCCTTCAGAGCAGTTTTTGCATTCTACACGTATGAGCACGTCAATATGGACTTACATAGACAGGCATGCACTTTCAGCTCATATATTTTAGGGTCTTCAGTCTCAGAACAGGAGATTGTTCCTTTGAGTCACTCTAGTGATGAAGAGAGAACTCTACAGCTGCAGCCTGCTAAAGAGATTGATGAATCACCTTCTGGGGTGCCAGTCAGACCCCCTCACCTGCCCCCATCTGGCCTTTTTTCAGATCATTTCTCTGGGCCAGCAGCCCTCTGCTGCCTGCTGAAAACCTGGGGTCATGTCGGCCTTCAAAGAATGGGCTTCTCTTCCCTGCCTCACCCAGCTCACACCCAGCCTCAGGTTTCATGCTTCATTCCATGCCACTGGAGCAGAGAAGTGTGATTTAATGACATACTTGGGATTTGTCAATAGACATCATCTAAAACAAATGCTGCTATTATTTGGGAGTCCTGTAACAGTGACTCATAGAACAATTGGGGAGTCACGGATGCGTGCAAGTACACCCACAAAGTGTTTGCTGGCTAGTGACAGAGTAAAGGCCCTGGTCACAGGCTGTGATGGAAGAGTCTGGAAGGGACTTTGGGCCTTGATGGGCACAGCTCAGCCACCTGCTTGCAAGTCTGCTCAGGGGTCATCTGCAGCAGGTCTGGCCAGAGAACCCAAAGTCAGAGAAGAATGTGGTTCAAAGAGACCGTGGCACAGTTGGGCATCAGGCATCCAAGTGGAAAATCTTCTAGGCTTTAAATCAGGGTCCTTGGGGCTTCGATTGGGTGACTCGTGGTCTCCAAATAATCTCCTGGAGGAGGGTGGCAGCTCAGACTGCCCTGAGAACTCTGGTGTCTGGGGCCTGCTTGGCACATGGACACTAACCAGCTAAGCCAAGTTGGGGTGTGGAGGGAGAGCTGCGAGAGGGGTTTCCGGACAAGAGGAAGAGTGCCTTTGTTCTCTGGCATATGATCTTGTTGATTTTGGTTCTCTGCACTGTGGTGAACCCCATGTTCAGTCACATACTATTTCAGGAAAGACAACAGGAAGAGCCACCTGTGAGACAGACGATGAGAGCAAAAGGTCCAGTGCTCTGGAGGTGCTCACTGCTGAGCAACCCCAGGCTCCTTCCACTGACACCCTCTGCAGCCCACCCTTGCCTTCCGCTGCAAACAGACGGGCTCCTTATTCTGCATTTCGTGCCCTGAACTTTCTTGCCTGTGAGCCTTTGCTCCCATCAGCCCCTGTCCTTGACTGTTCTTTCTTCGACCCTTTGTCTTTATTACCTGGATTCCCTGCCTTCTCTTCCAGGAAGCCGCCCTGGATCACCCTAGTGAGGTAGCATCTTTCCTTCTGTGCTTTTATCACTTTATGCCTTCTGTACTTATTTCTATACTCCACTTTAACTCAGAGAGAAGTTTTTGCTTGGCTCATTCTTCATGCCTCTGCCCCCTCACCCCACCCGTCAGCTCTGTGAGTACATAAATGCTCCCATGTGTATAGTCTTTGGCAGGAACAGTGACAGAAGTCCTGTCTCTTAGACTGGAGTCTTCCCGGACACATGGCCCAGGGAAGGGTCTCTGGGACTCTTGGTGGCTGGCACTGCAGCCCTGGGGGTGGGTGCTCCTAGCTCCGTTGGGTTCAGGCATGAGCAGCCTACCTGGCAATGTCCCCTGCCAAGCCTGAGCTCTGGTTACCTCCTGGGTCTCTGCGCAGCTCGATGACCTGTACCTGATCGCCATCTGCCATCGTCGGGGCATCAAGTCACTGCGAGACCTCACTCCCGAGCACCTGCCACTGCTCAGGAACATCCTGAAGGAGGGCCAGGTGAGTTGCTGAATCCCACAGAGGCCCAGAGCTCCCATTCCAGTTGGCCCCTGACCGTCTTTCTAACCCTTCCCAGAAGTCCAGCGACAGGGCTTCACTGGATGCCAGAGGCCTTAGGTGAAGCCTTAAGACCCCTGTCACCTGGCTCTGCTCTAATCAGTCCCCTGTCTCCCACGCTCCCACGATGTCATTTTTGCCTCCCTGCCTCCCCGCCCCCTTCCTGACGGCCTGTCTTAGCCATGAGAGCCACATTGGCAGATGTGCTTCCTGGGTGGAGAGGGCACCTCCTCATCCTTCCTGGGGCAGAGCCCATTCTGTAGTACCCAGAATTCTGGGACACTTTCTAGCTGGGATGTATGTTATGTGACATAAAGTTATAGGGGTGCTGAAAGGAACTTGAGGGTGAGGGAAAATGGAGAAAGGTGCAGCTTCTTGGGTTCTGGTCCTGGCTCTGTGATTTCTCACTAAAGCCAATTGAGTGGCCTTGGGTAGGTCGCTGCACTCCCCTTCTCTGGACTTTAGACTTGGATGGGGTCTTCTGGGGTCTACCATACTATGGGGCAACTCTCAGCCTTTTGCCCTCTCTGAAACATTCTAAAGGAATCTGTGCCAGGCCTGCCAGTCACGAGGGTGCCCACTGGGAGAGCAGCTCTTTCCCTTTTGATAAGCGCCGCTCCGAGGCTCCCAGCGAACCGGGAGGAAGGACTCGGGCTGCTGCTTTCTCTCAGCCTCTGCACCTCTGGTCCCCCATCTCTGTTCCCCCGAAGCAGGAAGTTGCTAAGTCTGCTGCTTGGACTCTGTGGCCTGCTGGAGCGGAAAGTCCCTGCATTGTGCTGCTTGCCCACAGTAGTAGCCATGACTACCTTGACCCCCTTCCTGAACAGTAAAGAAAGTCTGTGATGGACGGGTGACAGGCTTCTGCACACTGTAAAACCTTACCTTTCCTGCTGTTTGGGAGTCAGTTGAGGCGCCATCCCACTGGGCCCACTAGTATGACAGATAAATTGTTCCCCACCTCTCTTGAGTGCCTTCTAGTTTCTCTGAAAAATTGCCGAAACTTCCCAACCTGTCTTCTTGCCAGCCATGTCACCTCTCCCTCCCTCCTCCCTGGAGAGACTGGTTTTATCCTGAGCCGGCCTCCGGATGGACTGGAGAGCCCTGTGAGCAACAATGGGGTGTAATCTAAGCTCATGAAGGCCTAGACTTTGTTTTCTTCACCTCTGACCTTAAAGCCTTGCCCACAGTGGAAACCAGAGTCCCCTCTTCATTTAAAGCCTTAGAATTTAGGCTGAGTTAAGGTTGGTAGAAAAAGACCTAACCTTTGAGCACGTAGGGGTAGGACCAAGTAAGTGGCTTTTCTCTTCCTCCAGGATTCCGGGGAAGGCTTTGTGGGTCCCTTTGCCTCCTCTCAGTCTTCTCTGGGGCAGCTGCCCACCGCCCATAGCCCACCCTCCATCATTTCTTTCCGCAGCTCCTCAGTTCAGCCCCATCCCCTCCTCCCTTGTTTGCAGAAGCCGCTCTGTTCTATGCTAAGAGAACAGACTTTCTCCCACCCACTTGCTTATCTATTAAGTGCTTAGAAACCTGCAGAGGCCCTCCCTGGTGGCACAATAGGTTAGGACGCAGCACTGCAAGCTGACCGCAGCTGCTTCAGTGCACGTTCGATTCCCCACCCCAGAGGTGACCCATATGGCACGGCAGACCTCTCCTGACCCGCCCGCTGCTCCCCTCAGCAGTGTACTTCGTCGATCTGCCTATTCTGCTCCCCACTCTGTCTCTGGTGAATGCTCTCACTGCCCCTGCACCTCTGGCCAGTCCTGCACCCAAGTTCTGTATGCATAAATAAATAAATCTTTAAAAAGAAAAAAACAATCCTGAAGGGTGAGGTAGTCCCATACATAGTCTTGGGGCCCTGAGCCTGTCCATCAGCATTAGCATGTCTAGATTCCAGCAGTGACTGTTTGAAGACGTGTTTCTCCAGGTTGGGGTGGGGAGCCCTACCCAGACACAGTCCCCTTCCTTGCTGCTGTCACTTGCCTGTCCCTAGAGTGAAAGACAGAGCGCTGGAGCGCATGGGGCAGAGAGCTGTGCACATGCTTTCTGTTGGTGTCCACAGGCTGGTGGGGGGTTAGCACAGGAGGAGGCCTGGCGCTGGCTGGAGGACACCCCGAACCCTGTCCCTCCCCTGCCCTTTCTCACCAGGAAGCCATCCTGCAGCGCTACCAGGTCAAGGCCGACCGACTCCGGGTATACCTGCACTACCTGCCCTCCTACTACCACCTGCACGTGCACTTCACTGCCCTGGGCTTCGAGGCCCCCGGCTCGGGGGTGGAGCGGGCGCACCTGCTGGCAGACGTGATTGAGAACCTGGAGTGTGACCCCGAGTACTACCAGCAGCGCACCCTCACCTTTGCCCTCAGGGCCGATGACCCCCTGCTCAGGCTCCTGCAGGAGGCCCAGAAAAGTTAAGTGAACCCCAGGCTGTGCGAGATTGAGGTGGGGTTGGGGGTGGGAGTAGGGGTGGGGAGGAGTGGCTACATTTTTTTAGCTTCAAGTGAATTTTTTTTAATGTATTTTGTACTGGCTTATTCCTTATGTGAATAAAATGTTGATCTCATTCAGTGTGCATTGATGGCATGGCCCGGGAGGGAGGCGGGGCCAGGGCAAACGGGGTGGAGTCTGGAGGGAAAGTCTTGAGAAAGGAGGAAGGTCCTGGGTCTTCACAGCCCAGCGGGTGCCGTGGCTTCCTCCCGCCTGGACACACCATCCTTGTTGACTTGTGCACCTGAAATCCCATTTTCACTGCTTCCCACTGTTGCCAAGTCCCTCTTCCTTCCCATTTTCTGCCTCTCCTCAGTGGGTTTCTAGTTTCACATGTCTGGGAGTTCCCCCAAAAGAAAACAAAGAGGAAATTACAGGTACGGATTTTTGACAACACTTCTTCCTGGGGACTGGGGTTGACCCAACTGGTGCATCAGCTGTGTTGGTAATCTTCTTGCTGACATGGAAGCTTGCCACCACCAGTGGGAAGGTTTTAACAAGAATCAGATGACGCAAGCCTGAATGGCCTGTATTTGCCTCTGTTATTTGGTCAGTGAGTTCCTAACCTTGAGCTTATCACCTAGGCAGGAAGACAAAACAAACTGAAAGGCTGCAGCCAGGAGATCCTATACAAAACAGTGTATCAGCGAGGGCACAGTGATTTGGTCATAGCTGATGCCGGCTCAGAAAGGCCCAGTCCAGGATGGGATAGCCACAGGCCCCTGTTCACAGAGTCTTGAGGTCAGCAAAGGACTTCAAAGTGTCTGCAGCTAATGGCCTATCAAGAGCACTTGGGGCTTTTCTAGGAAGGGTCACGCCCATCCCTGCTCCAGCAGAGCAGGAACAGGACACACACCTCAAGGACATGCAGTGAAACACTCAGGGTGCTCTTAGATGTGGGGCACGGCCAGAGAGGGGCTGCCATTTGCTACTCAGTCCCATCAAGAGGTTGGGTTCTCCTAAGGGATAAGGGGGAGCACAGAGCAGGGAGGGGTGTGTGACTTCTGCGTCCCCCTTGACTGAGAACCAGGAGACATGATTCAGCATCAAATTCCATAATCTTCATTCATCAGACGTCTGTTGAACCCATATTCCAGGTGGACACCATCCCAGATACTGGTAAAAGGACACATGGCCAGAAACCCCTCTTCCCAGGTCAGCACTTTACCCAGTGGCATTACCTGGACAACACCTATGGCAACCTGAGCCAGTTCCTTTGTAAAGGGGAGAGGGGTGAGGAGCCATGGGTGCTCTGCTGTGTAAATGCAAACAGACTGATGGACCCTTGAACCAGAGAAGTTCCCAGGAGCTGGGAATAGAGATGACTGAATCCTAGCACCTGCCTCCCAGGCTAGCGGGGCAGAGCGACAAGCCCGGAGTGACACATCGGAGTATACAGAGGCAGCTCACAGCAGGGGCGTCCTTGAAAACAGTCTGCCAGAAGGGGTCACCCAGGAAGGTGGCTGGGGTGTGCTTTTGGACACCCCACAGGACAGCCTAAGTGGAATCAAGCTTTCAGAGTGACAAGCCGCAAGGGGGAGGGTTGGCACTGGGGTGGGAGCCGCGTGCCTCAACCAGCCATTACGGCAGAATTCGGCTGGCATTGAAGGAAAACCTGGCTTGTCTTCATATATAAAAAAGATAAGAGGGGTGGCCTAAGGAGACCCCCCTTGTGGACTGTCACGAAGATAAATGAAGCTGCAGAGAAGACTGGAAAGGTCATTACTCCAGAGAGCCCCCTTTTGATAAAGTGAAGGAACCCCATCGTGAATGCCATCTCCTCTCCTTTGCAGATCAAGTTCTACCAGAGTGTGTGTGTGTCTGGGTGTGGGTGGGGGTAGGTGTTGGCTCACCTGGCATCGCGCACTAAGAGTCTGTGATTGGAAAAGACTAATAGGCAGTGAAAGCTGAACCCAAAGGCAGATAGTGGGAAGCCTCCTGGATCTGGGCTTTCCCCAGGAAGCAGGGCTTGGCTCCTGGTCTGATTGGGCCCACCCCAACTTCCTCCTCACAGGTTTACTCATTTGTCCCTCAAATACCACCAGTCATCTGGGTGGGCACCACAAGGAAAGTCCATAGGACCTATGCCCCCTGGGCCCGCCATAGGTGCAGCTTGCTGGGGTGGGAGACTCGGGCTGAGACTGTAAGGAAGTTCGGGCACAGAGGGCTCGATTTGCTGCCTTGTTCTGGGAGGCACAGATTGGGCCCGTGCGTGAGGATTGACTCTGCTTTCTGAGGGGAAGAGGGGTTCTCCCCCAGTGCCTAGAGCTACAGGGGGCTGGGATTGGGGACTTGGGCCTGGAGCAGGCGGCAGCCGCTGGGCCCCACCTTGGGCCCCACCTGCAACGAGAGGAGCTTGTCTCTGAATCCTGGCTCCTGGTGTGCTCCCCCTTATCACCTCGCAGAACCTAACCTCCCGCCTCCTGAGAGGTCCCTGACAAGACCCCGCAACCCTCAGCCGTCCCTTCCTGGACTGACTAGCAAACGGCACCCTCCTGTCCTCAGAACTGGAAAGAACGCCCTTTGTGTGTGTAACTGTGTGTCCTTCACATGTGTGCCCCTGAGCGAGTGTGTGCCGCTGAGCCCGCTTGGCGGGCAGCAGTGGGCATCACCGTTGCAGATAAACCCTAGACGGCTCTGCCACTGGCAGTCCAGCCCCAGATCCGGGCTCCCTGTCTCCCCCCAGGATTGCAGCCAGGAAGCAGTTGCCGGTGTGACTACATGATTCCGTGGCTCCTCTCAGTTTGCCCAAAAGTTTCCTCATACAGCAAAATTGCGAGTGTGCTGTATTTGTCAACATTCCTTCTTGAAACTGTGAAAAATAACATCAGGATGAATTGGACACTGAAGCTCTATTTTGCACGTCCCTGCTGGAAACACATCCCCAAACTGAGAAGCAAATGAAGGAGTGATTGCATACAAAATAATATTTTTAAATGTTTCTCTTGTGATATGATATTGCCACATTCAAAACATGTGCATGTAAGTGTAACCTTCTGAAAGGCTGGCGGAGGTCTTGCTAAACCTTCACAGAAAGGCCTTAATGTTTATTCCAGACATGCATATCACGTTAACATGTCTTTTCTTTTATAAAACAATGGTGATTACTAACGGCAGTTTTTAAAGTATCCTCACTGGCAAAATGTTTCCAACCCTATGCCTATCCTATTCTTATTACTGAAATGTTATATATTAAAATCTATATTAAAAAAAGCCCATTAAATCTATATAAACTTGAAAGTACTAAGTTTTAGCATGCTAACCATTAGGAAATAAATCTGGGCTAAAAATGCTTAAAGTGTTTCAATTCAATAAACAGGTGTCCATGGTCTACCCTACTTTTTTCTTTTTTAAAGCTACATCTAGAGAGAGAACTCCTAGGGAACTCAGAATTTAGTGAGGAACATAGGCATTAATTACAAAATACAAGACTGATGAGTGTCTTGAAAAAAGCCTGGGAGCTTATGCCAATTGAAGCCAACTTCTAGACAGAAGTTTGATGGCTGAATGGCCAAGCAGTTCAGGGACACCCCACTGTGACATGGCTGGCCGCCGGAGCAAAGCTATCAGCACAGGGCACACACGTGAGTCAGAGCAGAGGTTTCCCTTCAGGATCGTGGTGAAATGGAAGCCACGACTAAGGGGGAAACTTCAGTTCTCTTCCCTCCCTGGAGAGGCAGTGTGGTCTGACAGTTCTAGCCAATGCTGCACTAAAACCAAGTATAATCCTGGGGCACTTAGGTGACTTCTGCAATAGAGTAATAAAGTGCCTACCTCAAGGGTTTTGGTAAGGGTTATAAATAAGAGGATTTTCTGAACAGAGTAATTGCTTGGTAAATTTAGCTGCTATTTTCCTACTTTGAGGGCCAGAGAGGATGTGAACAGATATTTGGGCTAGACATTAAGAAGAATTTCCTGGTTAGAAGATGATACAGGCCCTCCCTGGTGGCATAACGGGTAGGACACACCACTGTGAGCTGGCCTCAGCCGCTTCAACGGCAAGTTCGATCCCTGGCCAGGGGGTGACCTGCATGTAGTGACAGACCTCTCCTGTCTCGCCTGCTGCTACCCTTAACAGTGTATTTCGTTGATCTGCCTGTTCTGCCCCCCACTCTGTCTCTGGTGAATGCTTTCACTGCTCCTGCACCTCTGACTTGTACCCTAGTTCTGTATGCATAAATAAATAAATCTTTAAAAAAAAAAAAAAGAAGATGATGATACAGGAGAGGCGTGCCAACCAAGAGACCTTAAGACCTTAAGGCAAAAAGCAAGCCATAAACTATCTGTAGTTAATTGATCATGACCCTAAAAAGAGGTAACAACTGTGCCCGAAGCCTTGTCTGGATCTCTTCCAGCTTAAAGGTTCCCGGAATGCATTTTAGCCCTGGCCTGCGGGCAGGCTTCTAATACTGTAACAGTGATGTCCCCTGCTATTGAGAACCCTGGGAACAGATCAGCTCCATGGTCCAGCCATATAAATCTGATAAAAATAGGAGCTGAAATACCATCCTGGAGTTGCTATTTTTAAAAGCGTCTGAGACTCTCGATTGGGTTTATTTCTTCCTCAGATGGCATCTTGCTATCCCTCTCTCTGTGGGCAGGATGCTAACGTGGCACATGCAAGGGACAGGGCAGAAGCCTGTGAGGCACATCTGTTGGACAGTTCTACCTCCTGCCCACACCCACTGCCTGCCAGTAAGGAACCCCTGGGCCAGGGCTGCCCAGATCCAGAAGCACCTGCCCTCCCTCCTGTCTGCCCTCTCTGCTCCCAAGACCAGTCTGGTTGCCCCAGCAGACAAGTGGCCTCCACAGCAGAGCCAGAGCCAGAGAGGTAAGGGGAGGCAGAGGAAATGGAATGGAGTCTGCCTGACTAGGAAGGGACCCAACCGCTGTTCCTTAGGCTGTTGATGTGCTCTGGACACAGGAGCCTCTGGGAGGTACAGCACCCGGGTGCCAGAGTCCTCTTTGCTCCATCGCTGTTCCTCTTG